TCTGGTTAATTTCTTGTTTAGCTGTTTTGTGTTGTGAACCTGTTGTCTGAAAGAAGTGAATTCTCGAATAACGGACGAATCTGCTCCTGTAGCTGTGTGTGTTTTGTGTAAGCCTGGTGCCTTTGTGTGTGATAATTACCACATACCCAGGGTCCTTGGTCGCTGGTTGTTTGGCTTAATAGGTTTTATAGTGGTGGATGAATATTATTATAAATATCTGATGGGATGAGTAAATCCAAAGTTTATAAGATACATTAATTAGAAGTTGGAGGTGGATAATTCTTTATTCATATACAGATACAAATCTGTACAACAGTTATTAGGTATACAGAATGTATATATAGTCAAAAAATACAAACCATAATACTGAATCTTATTTCCAATTTTTAACTCTCCTATTTTTAGGTCCAAGGTGGATCTGTCTTGCATTAGATCGCGGAAGCATAAAAACAAAGGAAATACCTTAGATACAGCTGGCTGTTCTTTTTTTAATAGAAGTTAATTCAAAAAATGTGCATGGGGTAAATATGTATCACGTTCAAAATTTTTGTCACTTAAAGGCCATAGTTTATGGGGTGGCATTTTGAATCCGGGATTCGAGTGCATATAAGAAAAGATTGTATTCATTATAATAGATATAGATTAATTGATAATATGGATATCTTCCAATACATTTTCTGTGTTTTTTTATGTGACAAATATGTTTATTAAGAACATCTCAGTATTTTAATTATTTTTTAGTTGAGTGATTCTGTAATCTGCATCATTGGGGGATTATGGGAGATCATTATAATCTTAATTTCTTCAAAATATTTTGCTTGAAGGCGGGGCGTGAGCAAGTGACTATAACTGAATCCAACAAGGAGGATTTGGGTGTATGAAATAGGTGAGAGATATTTGGATGATTTTACAAAGATGTTAATGATTTTAGATTATTTTGGTTTCACATAAGAAAAAACACAGAGAAAAATAATGGGTGTATACAGTTGGATCCATGTTGTAATATTGAAATGTTAATTACGGAATACAGTTGGTGTGGGTGGTTATGCGCAACGGTATAATGGTAGAGGTACGAGATTTATTTGCTTTAGTGATTGCATAAAAACTGAGTAACGGAGAGTTGTAGCTATTTGTTTTTGGGGTGAGGAGAAAAAGAATTAGATTCAGGTGGGTTAGGGGTTATTGTCTTGTGTTTTTGTTAGCGGGGAGGTTAACGGTAACCGCAGTCAGCAAATTTCTGCTTGCGCAGTTATGTTGCCACGACCTTTTGGATATCCAAAGTAAGTAAAATTGGGGGAATAACTGCATAATCATGTGTTAGTTTATTGACGCATGGAATGATTTTACTACCTCTCTATATAATATAACCAACCTGAATTCTATGCTACGTGTCTGTGATATAGATTTGATCTAAATTGTAGTATCTAAAGATCGTTATGTATATTATTATGTGTGAATAATCATAAATCTAGAGCTTAGCTAGGCGGGAAGAATTATATTGGTTTCGTGTTCGACAATCATGAAAAACGAGACTAAGTTACGTAGCTGGGTGTTGATTCGCTGTGCATGGTTTATTCAGAAGACGGTATTACTAAATAAGCTAAACAGCTGCTGAGCAACATCCTTACAATTGAAGCGAGGAGTGCGCAAGCTCGACCGAACCTTAGATAAAATTTACAAGACTGCGGGCCGTTGTAAAATCCCTGACCACATAACATTTGAATTTAGTATGTGTGAAACCAATAAATGTGTGAGATAATGCAATTAAAAATATACTATCAGAGTAGCTCCGTGGCACTGAAAATGGTGCAGTTTCGGCTGAAAAGGTCTTGGAAAGATATCTATTCTCCTGTTGTTGTCCTAGTCTGGTCACAGGCATCGGGTATTAAACATATAACCGTTGATCTTCCAGTTCATATGTTTACATTGTATCATGATTAGTGCCTAGTAATTGTGTCAGTCTGGCTCACTTGGGATTCCTGTGTAGCTTGTTATCATTGGAATAATTTTTAGATAGAAAGGCCATTTTGGTCATTGAATATTAGAGAGTTGTACCTCTGTGATTCCTACGCTTGAAGTAAGATGTCTTGTGTCGAAGAAAGCCTGTATCACAGTGATGCAAATTATGAGAGAGAGTACGTCGCTGCAAATAAATGAATATTGTAGTTGGGGATGAAGAGCTCAGGGAATTATAAAACATATATGATTAGGTAATAAAGATTATGACTAACTATAAAGTAGTTACTATTAGGGGACATATCTTAAGCAACAACAATTTTTTTGATAAATGACATGGACCCTACGAAAGTAATATGATATTTGACATTTTGATGGTCTGTTTTTACGCTTATATAAAGCTTGATTGCATACTCTTTGTAGCTTCATCTTGTATGTGGAATGATTAAGAGCTGATTTGTTACTACGTTGAAAAACATATATGATCAGAGTATAATAAGTATACTGTATGCGTTATTGGTGAGATGAATTTGGTTGCCAGCCTATGCATAAAATAATTAAAGAGATAAAATTAACAGGCGAGATGATCTAATAGTTGTCAAAATTAGTTTGTCAAAGCTACAGA